CAATCACTTAGGGTGTGTTTGGTTGCCCGCATAGAGCCCAACCAGGCCCGCGCGGGAAGTAAGAGGCCTGTTTGGTTGCCTGATTTCACTATTGGGCTTGCATCGCACGCTTCTTAAAGCAGCCCAGAGCCTGGCTCGCTGGAAACACTAGAACCGGCAGTTTCTTGCGAGCCAGGCCGAGCCGAGCGCGAGGGAGCGGACCCTTGCACGAGTGGAGACGGAAGGGGTGCGAGGTGATTACCTGAGGTCTTCTTCAACCTCCAGTAAGCTCCTATCTAATCTCCTCCCTCTGATCTACACAACAGTGCTTCGGTTCGAGTTAAGCTCTACACGAAAAATTTCACCTCGATGCTACGGTTCCATTCAGGTGATCGGTTCGTAGTTTCGTCAGCCGTAAGTTCTTAATCTTGTGTTCCCGTTTGGAGCTATTCTGGACGAATTTTGTTAGATTCGTCGCGCACGATCAATCATTTGAAATTTCTGTTGACCAGCAGCCTAATCTCGCAGTTCCTCACAACATTTGTGTTGTAAGTTTTTGGTTTCGACGATCGTAACTTCATCTCTCTTTGAGCAGCAGTGTACTGCACTGACGCCGCCATGTCGAGCTCCTCTGTCCTCTGCTCAGAGCCCTCCTATTCGTCCCTCTCGACGCCGAAGCCCTTCCCATTAATCTCCTTGCCCACGTCCTACTACACTAGAGTCGTTTTCGGCGTCGCTCATCTCGGCCTACTCTCTGTTGTTCTCCTATTGCACTGACGCTGCAATGGTGCATGCACTGCTTTCTTGTGTCCTCTGCCTCCGTGCACACTGCAGTTCGCCGCGCCGCCAACGTGGTCGATCATCTTGGCCTCCTCCCTCTCGCCCTACTACACTGGAGTCATTTCCAGTGTCGATCATCTCGGCCTCCTCTCTCATCCACTGCACTGACGATACCATGGCGCGGGCATTGCATTCTCCTCCTCTGTCGACTGTCTTTGCGCGAGCATCGCAACTAGTTCACTGATGGTGTCGCTCGCCATGCCGCCGACGGGGTCGCTCGTCCATGACTCCATGCTCGTCATGTCGGACACGGCGCCATGGCCACTATCCACCACAGTCGCCATGGTTCGGCGCACACTGCATTTCTTCTCCCCCTTCCTCTGCTAGCTCTTAACCCTATGTGCTAAGTGCAAGTGCTATCTCTTAATCATACCCCATGCGGGCAACCAAACAGCGTGTAGTTGTATGCGCCGAGACAATGCAGGCAACCAAACAAACATGCCAAAGTTGATCCCCTAATGCAGGCAGTCCATGTGCAGGCAACCAAACAACTTACAGATGTCGCATATGAGGCTGTTTTTTCGAGAGCCAGGCTGAATGGAGAAGGGTATGCAATACAGATACTATAGCCAAACATGCCAAAGTTGATCCCCTAATGCAGGCAGTCTATATACTATAGCCGACGGCAACCAAACACGCCTTTAAGCAATCTCCGTGGCTTCACTGATTCAAAAAAAAGTACATAAATCTGGAAACGGTTCATGTTTCTTAATATAAAATCAATAAAGATAAAAGGCTGAGAAAAGAAAAGGATAAACAAAAAACAAACAAAATTGAATAAAACTAGTAGAAATGAGAAAAACTAGGTCGGAAGCTTCCCTAAGCTAGAAGAAGCTACCGAAAACTGAGATCGAACAGTAGGCTATATGGGTCGGCCTGTTGACATAGGAGTCGCTCCACGGGATTTTCGGCACGTATGAATTAAGCTCTATTTGGTTAATAGGGATTTGGTGATTTGGGGAGGTTCACACTGTCTTCTATGTCAACTCGGACACGCAGTCTTCACCCCAAACCTCACCGAATGCATCCCTGGCCACTTTCTTCTTAGGCTGGTCATAGTAGGGAGTAACATATATTAATGTCATGAATATGAGAAGCGGCTTTATAGCACCCGGGTGTTCCACACCTCAATACGAATATTAAATTCAAAAAATAACCGAGAAAATTGAAGAAGAAAATCTCAGATGTTGGAATATGTAACCTGGGTTCTCGATCTACTCCCGTGTGAAAATTCATGAAAAAAATACTGGCAAATGTATTGGTGGAAATAAAGACAAAATTTCCCTTTGTATAGAAAAAAGTGTTTGGATGAATTTTTGTTTGGACAGTATTTCCTTCGCCACAAATACATTTTCTGGTATTTTTCTCACAAAATTTCACACAGGAGTTGATTGAGAACTCAGGTTTGATATCCCCAAATTTCAGTTTTTTCTTGATTTTTTGGTATTTTTTATGTTTAATATTAGCATAGGGGTGTGGAGCACCTAGGAGCTCCTATGTATTTTTCCATGCATATGACACTAGTTTAAGTTACTACCTTCATAGTGTAAAGTAATATACTAATATGTCATGGATGACTTCATTTATTATATTGTAAACCCGTCTTGTCAGGAAGTGCTATGTTATAGTAATATATTATGTGACTCCAAATACCTCTCTCCTCATTAATTAAATACATGACACATAATTAAATTGTCTTAGAATGCTCTACTCCTTCCTTCCATCTATATATGGCCTAATGTGTTTTTCAAGACAGCCTTTGACTATTGACAAGATTAATATCACATGAGATATATACTATGAAAATTATATTATTGGAAACTCCTTTGACATACAAAATTGAAGGTATGCTTTGTGTGAGTTGCATGTCATATATTATTGCTCTAACGTTTGATCAAAGTTAGCCTCGAAAAATGCATTAGGACCTATATAGATGAAAGGAGGGAGTATGTTACTAGCTAAGTTACTCCCACTATGACCAGCCTTAACTCTTTGCCTCTTTTATCATGTTGTGCATGATCACAAAAAATGTCATCATCTCCCACAAGGTCTCGGGATACCATTGTTAGCAGGTCCACAAACAACTGCAAAACGGGCCTAAAGCACTCCAACTACCCCTTCCGCATCATGTGTAGTTCCTTCTTGTCTTTGTGCAAAGTGAGATCTTTCCTGACCAACTGGTTTAGAGTTGGTCTTGATGAAGGTAGCCCACGGAGGAGAGCTACCGTCAACCAGATGGTATCCCATGTTGTATTGATGCCAATTGACAGCATAGTTGCAAGGTGGAGCTTGCCCTCAGTCAACCTAGCAAACAACGGAGACCGCTGCGACACATTGATGTCATTGTGCGACCCACACATGCCAAAGAAAGCGTGCTAGATCTAGAGGTCATGTGATGCAAACGCTTCAAGAATGATGGTTGACTTCTTAACGTGGCCCTGAAATTCCCTTTGTAGATCTTTTGGGTAGTCCTTCCATCTCTAGTGCATGCGATCAAGAGATCTGAGTAAATCTAGCCACCCTCTCGCTTCGGACATTACCAAGAGCCTCTTGGTGTCTGCGATGTTGGTTCTCTCGAGTACCGAGATCCAAACACCTCGACCATCGCAATAGCAAATCTAACCATGGCGCCTTCGCTTGTGCTCTCGGATATCAGGAGGTACTCGTCCCAAGAATCTGCAGCAGCGCCATATGCAAGCATCCGCATGCAGCCGTGCAGTTGTGGTAACCAGATAATTTAATTCTTTCTACACACCCTTCTTCAAGAAGTAGTCAACGCAACCAGACACTTTTGTAGAGGCGATTCAAGACATTTTTCGTATTCAAAAACATCGGCGAAAATAGTCCATGAATAGGTTATCGGTGGCAAAGTAGTCTTCAAATGCCCCTGTTCACTGCTTTCATTCAGCTCTCGATGACCCTTGATCGATCCCTTGAAATCGAGAACATGCTCTTCCGTATGCTCTACATTAGCAAGGACCACTTGCATCATCACTGTTTCATCCGCATAATCCACCTCGTCGGATGATTCAACGTAGTGCTCGTATATATACTCCATGTTCGAATCCATTTCTTTAAAGAAGGGACAAAAATATTAGCACGGACATTACCAAACATTTCTTGGTCGTGGTGATTCCCATAGGGGTGGCCGGTTCCTGCGCGGCGGATAGGCGAGACGTATAGACCGGCGGTGGAGGACAAGCGACATGCTGATCGAGTGTAGCGAAGGGCTTGGCGGGCGGCCGGGGCGGTAGGACGGCAACGTCGGCCATGGAGGAAGCGGATGCAGAGAAAGAGAAAGAGGAAAGATGGAGAGGCGAGGTCGGTGTCAGGGTTCTACGCCCCCCCCCCCCCTCCTACTTTGCTTGCGCTTTGCGGGAAAACAAACAACGGACTGGTCCACAAACTCATGTGTGATGGTGTTGGATGACAAATTACGTCATAGTGGTTCGGACGGATGTGGGCGATTTGAGGGTTCGCTTAGCTGATGCCCTAATGCAGCGCCTCAGCTGGCGTAGCTTTCAACATGACCATTTCCCGCCCCATTCTCTTTGTTAATAACCATTTAATGGGTCGGGGCAGTTGAGTGCATGTGCATTTTGTGGGCGCTTCAGCTAAGCGCCATTGACTAATTTTCACACGAACGAATCCACGTCGTTGAACTGAACCGTACGTATACGTTGGAATCCTTCAAACTCTCGGAGTTCTTGCGAGTCGCAAGCGACCGGAGATGGATCATTCCACGCGGACGGTACGTTTTGGTGGCTCGGACCCGTTCAGTGGCTAACTTGGGTCGCCCCCGAGCTTGCTCCGCGCGCGTCCACCACGCGGCCCCCATGAATAGAGCTCGTCAGCGGCATCCATGCAAAAGAACACAGCTAGCGACCCATTAAAAGACGACCGAGAAATGGAAAGAAGAGAAGACACTTTTACACCGTTTGCACCGTTGCAAGGGCCAGACCGGTCACCGGAAGCTTGTGCTCGTTCCACCTTTGCCGCACCTAATCGAAAATGAAACTCCATGGGCACTAGCACCCACGGTTTATTAATATAGAAGAAGCATCCCTCATGAGAATTCCAGAAATTCGTCCCCGACGTGGATCGAACTCTGGTCGTTGGGTTTACAATCATGCGCCCCCAACCACTGGGCTATGCCCACGTCCTCCCGCAGCTAATCGACAATGGCGTCGCCTTCACCTTCTTTCCTCCTCCAGCTGGTCCGGTATGTGTCGTCCCTCCCGAGCCAGTTCATGGGGGCGACGGCGAGGGCGCTCCCTGCAGCCTCGAGGGAAGGCGCCGGTGGGGCGATCCGTCCGTCATTCACCGCCCCCGCGCCGCAGCGGCCTGGCGCGCCGGCTGAGGGCGCCGGCGGCCAGGGTGGGATCATCCATGAGGCTTCTCCCGTCCAGCTAGAGCAGATGCATGTGGCGGCAAGGGCGGCGCCTCCGATGCAAGGCGCTGGCGGCAACAGGACCCATCCACCCATGGCCGGACTTATGGGGCCACAGCGGCCCGGGGAGCCAAAAGAAGGCGCCGGCGGCCGCGGCGGGATCATCCATGCGGCTTCCTCTTGATCAGCACACGTCAGGTGCATGCATTTTCGGGATAACACGAAGGCTGAAGAAGAACAAGAAAATCGAGATTAGTTCAAAGTTTTTACAGGTTCATCGATTTACTGATTCGGGTACGCACAGTTCGAGATGTAACACATGTCCAGTGTGCATACGCGCTTCAGGTTCAGATAAATTGCCTGAATTTCGCCGGGAGTCCTAGAATCTACAGGTCGACGTCAAAACATCTCAGTATTATCTATTATGCTCACTAGATGACCTGTTGCGTCAACTGACCCGTGAGACATAAGTTGGCGTTAAAGTGTATGCCAAATAATGTGGTGTTACTCAGACTACCTTGGTTTTTATATCTAAGAGGCAAGAGTTGCTGCTTTATCTATTTCTGAACATGTTTCTATATGCTGTCATAGTTAGGCTGTTGTAATATGTAAAAGATGATGTTCCACAAAGATGAAAACAACACATAAAGCATAGGTCCAGATGCGATAAATATTTACATTCAATGATTAAAAAAAATATTGCTACCAACCATACGAACTAAACCCAAGCTCGGTAGCCTTAACCCTAATGATAGGTATATTAAACATGTTTACTCTATGATGATGCTTAAGAGAAATGGCGCACATGGTGGGCTTCGTTCTTTTAAGAACTAGATTTTGGTTTAGTCTAAACCCAGAATGTCTGCATGGACAAATTAACAAACATGATGCATTGGGAGACTGAGAGACTCGCAAAAGAAGTAAAAATAAAGTGCTCAGAAAACAATATAGCAATGCAAATGACATTTCAAACATTTCATGGGCAGTGCCCCATTACCTGGATGTTTTGCAGCTATTTTCCAAATGGAAACAGCGAATAAAACAAATAGGTTCAGATTAGAGTAGCAAAGACTTATTATTGCAATTAACAAGAGAAATAGGATCATAAGAAGTAATCTTGAATCAAACCCAACTCTTGTCTTTATTATAATAGCAAGAGAAACATCGTCATGCAGTTTAGGGTCCTAATATGCATATAGAAAGTTTTGCTCTTTACATTAGCAGAATACTGAAAGATTTCATAACAGTCAAGAAAAGACCCATGGAAGATTTCAATATAGTTGAAAGCTTAGCTACATAAGCATAATGGAACAAAATAACAGCACAAAGCACAATAGATGTTCCTCAAAACCTGTTAGAACTCTTTTACAGTTTAAGTACATACACAATAGTACATGTCCTATCAAGAGACCAACTAATTCTACATTGCCCAGCCAAAAAGTGTCATTCATGTATATGTCAGAATTTTTTTTTTGATAACTTAGCACCTTACATTAAGATCAGCC